TCAAACTTTATGAAAAGCTATGAGAAATAATTAGCATATATGCAAGAAATTTATTAAGTTAAAATTTAGAATAAAAAATTTTTAATCACCAAAAAAATAAAAATAAGATTTATTGTTTACATAATCTACAATATGTATTTATTCATATGTTAGTTATATAAATATCAATAAATTTAATATAGATAAACTAATAATAACGTTTTAGTTTACAATATTATGATGTATTTATAAATTTATACAATATAATAATGCAGTTTTTATGAAAAAAATATTATATCTTAATCAGCCCAGCCGCTCATAAAGTTACGGGTTGACCCTTGACCCACCGTTAGCCTGGCCGATAGGGCCAGGATTGGCCCATATCACTAGGTTTTACTTGATCGTTTCATAGTGTATGATTTTCATGTATAATTTCTGCTTATTTTATATTTCTAATGCTAATAATTTATAACCGAAGACAAATGATGTATAGTTAAAATAAGATAATAAAGTGTAACTAATGTAATTAATTATGCATCATTAAAACAAGTGATGTGTAGAATATACTATCTGGCTATAAATTTCTGTATATAATTTTTGCTTATTTTATATTTCTAATGCCAATAATTTATAATCGAAGACAAATAATGTATGGTCAAAATAAGATGATAAAGTATAACTAATGTAATTAATTATGCATCATTAAAACAAGTGACGTGTAGAACATACTATCTGGCTATATATATAATTCTTGGAGGTGATTTTTTTTATCATTTTTTGCCAATTACTATGCCTCCAAAAAAAAAACCACTAGTAAGTAGATAAAATAATATTTAATATTTCTTTTATGAGATTTCTATTAAATATAATATTTTATAGATAAAAAGAAAGCACAAACCTCTTCTGTTACAACTCGAGCACGTGCTATAAATAGTATGTTATTTGGGTGTTTAAAATATATGAGCTTATAAAATTTATTTATATTACGAAGGTATTAAATCTTAGCAAATAATGTATGCACAGATTCTGCTTCTAAAGCATCAAAATTGCCTTCAAATAAGAGGCAAAGATTTCAAGAGCCAACTAATAGCCAAGATCAATATGAAGGCAAAAAGATATCGGATATGCATTATATATATTATTTTGGATAATTTCTTAACTATAATATTTAATTTAATTTTTATAGATACTGTTACAACTCATGCACTTGATACTAATAACCAAATTTGAGGAATTAAAGATAAATACAATCACGAAAAGACATTGAGTATGCATTATATATATCATTTAGATAATTTTACAAATACTTTAATTTAAATTTTATAGATATCACTACACTGGTATCATCTGGAAAAACTACTCTCATTGGAACTCAGACATTTAGTATATTATTCATTTGACAAATGTATATGAGCTTATAAAATTTATTTATATTATGAAGATATTAAATCTTAGCAAATAATATATGCACAGATTCTGCTTCTAAAGTATCAAATTTGCCTTCAAATCTGAAGCAAAGTTTTCAAGAATCAACTACTAACCAATATCAAGAAATTGAACTACCAATTGAGACAATTAGCAGTGACGAAGGGAATGATGATGGTGAAGAAACATCAGGTATGTATTATATATTATTTGAATAATTTTTTAACTATAATTTAATATTTTATTTAATTTTAACATATAGATGTTCTAAACTATGTGCTAAATAATGGTATTACTTTTATATAGTTATAAATGTTCTATATTAAATAACTGGAAGTTTCTTATAATATTTATCTTATATATCTCAACAGTGCTTCCTTTAGGGCCTATAGTTAAGAATTTGACGGGCCAAACATCACACGCAGAAACAACAACTTCAAGTATAGCAGTAGTGACTTTAAACACAATGGATAATTAAACAAACATTTGTTATATGGAATAAAAATTTTTTTTGTTTGTTATAATTTACACCTTTTAATTAGTAAGTTATTTACTTAAAATATGTAAATAAAGCCGCATATTAATGATCTTGCATATTTTAATAGATAATAGAAATAAGTTTGAGTCATATAACTTGATTCAAAAGCCTCCTCTTAATATATCTCATAACCCTTCTAATGAATTTGAAGTAGCCCTGTGGTTAGCACGTCAACCACGAATTTTAAATTTAGCTATTAGTATTTAAGATGCAATGTCAGCTCAAATATCAAATAATGGTAATAATAATAAATTATCATCGAATATTACTTATCTGTATAATTTCAAGCCAGCTCAACAAAAAATTCATCAGGTAAACTTAAACATTCATAACTACTAAATATGCAGACTTACAAATATTTTCAATATTAGTACCTCAAGTACCTCCTACAGGAAGAGTACAAAGCACTCTTTCTTAGAACAAAGAATAATATGACCACGCTATATGAAGAACTAATTATGCATGTGTATAAAATATCGAAAAGTGATGACCGTATGCCAGCACTAGTTAAAGATCTTGGCAGCTAGTTTGACAATTATAGGTTTAAATTTCATGCCGTGATCTTAAATCTCGCGATCCAATTTATAAATACTCACGAATGGTAAGTATCCTAGTGATAATTATATATTATTCGATACCAGAAACTATATTTGAAGTTTAATTGCTTTAATTCAGAGGTTTTGAAAAGTTCCTCATTTCGAATAATAGTATAATAATCATTTAATTTTTAGAGAAGGGGATAAAAATATTTTTATTCTAAATTTTAACTTAATAAATTTCTTGCATATATGCTAATTATTTCTCATAGCTTTTCATAAAGTTTGA